GTTACCTGGCTTTGGGTAACTGGACAGAATTTTCTCGAAGCAAGATAACTTTTGTTGGTTGGTTTGAGTGACCTCTGTGTGACTCTGTGTGTGTGTGTGTGTGTGTGAGAGAGAGAGAGAGAGAGAGAGAGAGAGAGAGAGAGAGACAGAGAGTGCTTGGATTGGACCCAGGGCTTCGTACATGCTAAGCCTAAGCTCTGTGACTGCACTATGCCCTCAGCCCAAAGGTAATATTTTTAGGTAGTTTGGATTTACCATTTAATTATCTGTACAGTACTGGACACATTATTAAACTTCTGACTGTGATAATCCTCACTTAAAAACTGGAATAAATGCCAACCACAACATAGACTCCTTGTAAAGATCAGGGGATGTGTGAAGCACCTGACTCACAGCCTTGCAAACTAGAGGCATTTGATGAATGATACAAGTTCATATGCATGCGCAGAAATTGGATCTGAGCTCAGACCTTTCTGGAGAACCCTACTAGATTAAGGGATTGTTTGGGCTTATTTTTCTGTTTGTTTCTTTACTGGGCTGTATATTGGACCCAGGACCTTGCTAAGCCAGTACCCTGTCACTAAGCTACATTCCTAGCCTTTGGTTTTTGGACTCAGAGTCTCAGGCTAGCCTTGAACTGGTGATTCTCTTGCCTCAGCTTCCTGAGTGCTGGGATTACAGCTGGTTTTGAAGTGGTCTAGAAACTTCTTGGTATTATATATGAAATAGGGTAAGGTACAAAAACTTGGACATAGGTATTTATAAAACCATTATTTATAATGGCCCCAATGTGAAAAGAACCCGAGTGTCCATCAGAGGATGAATATACAAACTGTAGTGTTCTATTCATACAGAATAATATTCCTCAGAAGAATTTTTTAAAAATAGCATCTGCCCAATGCTACGCCATGAATGATCCATATACCTATTTAGGGGAAGGAAAAAAGACTAAGTTTCCTCATACCTTACAGGGTGACCGTTCGTGGAACATTGAAAATGTTGCTTCTTGAACAAATGAGGGTAGAACGGGCAGGTCTGAAGCCCAGGCTTGTACACTGACTCATGGATGGCTCCTTCCAGAGGACGAGGCAGGATTTTATAATGCCAACAGAGATGTCTCATGTATTTCCTTCTGGATTCTCTACTGGAAGGAACCTTCATCGCCCTTCTGCTCTGCACCCTCTGATCTTGTCTGGTCTAGGTTTTGTTTCCCAGCCCCTGGTGTCACCTCTGCTTCTCCTTCCTATTCCCATGGGAAAGAACCCAGAGAGCTTGAAGAGAAGCCGTGGGGCCAAGGATGGGAAGGGAAAGATTTAACTTGGGAGGAAACTAATTAGAGAAGAAATTCAAGAGAATCCTTAATTACTGGGTGGTCATCCACACACTACCCTTTTTGATGGCTGTGGGCAGCTCTCCCAGGAGGCTGCATGCTCCTGCCCCTACATGGCTATAATAGTGGTGTTTTGGACCTCTTAAATAAGGGCTAAGTGACCATGTTTAACTTCTGCCTTTACCATAGATTTTCTAAAGATAATCTTTATTGTGGTAAAATGCATATAACATAAAGTTGATCATCCATGGCCTTTATGCATTCATTACATTGTACATCCGTGACCACTGCCTAGTTCAGATCAATTTCACAACCCCAGGGGGGAAGCCCTGCGTCCATGCTCCCCTCTCTCAGCCCTTGGTAGTCACTAGCGTATTTCCATGACTTTGCCTGTTCCAGACATTTTATATGATGGAATGAGACCGCATGTGGCCTCTGTGACCTGACCTCTTTCCCTTAGCGTGATGTTTTCAAGGCCCAGCCATGATATAACAAGGATTGAGAATCCATTTTTTATTTCTGAATAATATTCTATTGTATGACTATCCCACATTTGCATGACTGTTTCTGCTGTTTCTTGTGGCCATTGTGAATAATGCTGCTCTGAATATTAGTTCGGGCATGGTTTTGTTCGAATGCTTGTTTTCGGCCTTGCTTGGAGGTTGGGGGTGTGCCCAGCTGTCTCCAACATCTTTTGACTCCTGATTTGTTGGAGGTCAGCTAGTAAGAAGGAATTCTTTCTAAGAAAAGGAAAGGTAAGGGGGCTGAAGCTGCCTTGGGAGATGCAGGCAAGGCAGTGAGTTGGCAGGTAGACAGAACCCCTGGCTGTGTTGTCAGGGTTTGGAGACCACCTTCAACACAGCCCGTTTGGCCAAGTTAGGAACTAGTCCCGCTGCTGGTACTGGTCTGTCCTCCCCCATTTTTGGACTCTTTTTGACCTTCCCTGATTCAATCTCAGGGTACCTCCCCAAAGGTTCCTATACTCCATGGATAGAAGAGACCTTAGGGCAGGGATGACCTCATTGGTTATCCATGTCCTCATGTGTAAACTGAAACTTCGTCTGATTTCACAGGGATACACAGATGAATTAACCAGAATCATTCTAAAGAGAAAAATACTACACAGCTATGAAGATGGCCAGGCTCCTAATTGCTCCTTCATAGGTAGGGCTCTGAGGGCCAGAAGGTTCAGTCCACTTGCTCTCCAAGAGGGAGTGGTCTCCTTCCCACCCAACCTTCTCAACTGAACTTAGTTCTGAAAGGTGTTAACCTCCCTTTCGGGTGTTCCTCAGGTAGTCTTGACAGCAGAAACCTCAGAGAAAACTGTCAAGGGTGGCACTTCCGTGGTAAAGGGGAAGTTGGAGGGGATGTTGATATTCTTGCCTAGACTTCACCTCTCACAAGGCAAAGCCTGGGGAAGCCTGCCTCTGTGTCCCTTCCAGTGAGACCCCCCATCTACTGAGCACCCTCAGTGGTGTACCCTCTTCTAGGTTCCGACCGTGTTTCTGTGGATTTCCCGTGTGTTCCACACCTGGGCCAATGTTAGCATCATTCACTTTATAGATGTGGGAAGAGCCTGACTGAGTCACTTGCCTGAAGTGATACGATGGCTCGATGGCTGTGTGGCTGAGGCAGGGTTGGCACCAAGGTGCTTTGAGCCTGAGGCTGATTTTACTGGTCTTTGGATTCCCTCTGTGCAATTCCTTCCTGTCAGCTTGGGTCTTGCCCCCCACCCCTTTGAACAATTTCCCAGTCACCACCACAGCCTCTCTTTTTTTGGTACTTGTTGATGTTAGGCTCAAGGAAAGATGACCTGGCATCTCACCCTCTAGTTTTAGAATAGTTGTTTCAGGAAAACATTTGTTTTCAACACCCATTCCCGTGCCTACTTTATTCCCAAGGCCCCTGGTCAAAATATGTTTGTGCTGAATGTGGAATCATTTACATTCTCTCTGTCTCTGTCTCTGTCTCTCGCTCTCTCTCACTCTCTTTCCTTCTTCACTCCACCTCACCCCGTCTTCCTTTTTTCTCCCTTTTCCTGTTCATTAATTCTTGGGTTTTTTTTTTTTAGAAAGGGCCTTTCTATGTAGCCTAGGCTGGCTTCAAACTCATGAGCCTCCTCCCTCACCCTTCTGAATGCCGGACTCACAAGCCTGCACCATCATGTCCCCATCATATCGCTTAGTCTTTGCTTGTTGCTACACTACGGGTCTTGCTTGTATTCTGGCCACCTTCCAAGCCTAGGCACATCTGCTCTCAGGTTCACGTGTGCTTGGACTATGGGCTGTGCAGTGAGACGGGAGCCTAGCAGGAAATGGCACTTCTTTCGGTCTGGCTGCCATGCACCTCACTGTCACCTGTCTGTTTAGAGCATGGTCTTTCGTCCAGAATCAAAGAGGTCCTGTGGGTCAGCAGGTGCCTCTGTATGAGATAGAGGCATCTGAGCACAGAGGAACAATTGTGAAAATTAATAATGATGCACACCATGGCTACATAGAAGGCTGAGGGAGGTCATGCTTATTGCACATCCCAGGAGCACCTATGATTTAGTCATAGCACAAAGGCCACCACAGGAAACTGAGACGTGGTGTCACAGCCTTCGCAGAGCAGGAAAGTGGCCTTGGAGCATGCTTCTCTCCTGCTCCCACTTCAACCACCATCCTACTTTTCTAGACAGTGGCCATTGCTGACCAAAGGACCTGCTCCTGTGGGCACAGCAGTGGACACTGAGGACATAGGGAAGCTGATGACTGTTTGTGTTTCTGAATAGACTCCTATTTCGCTGAAAAATTCTCAGGCACTCTCCAGCTAGAATTCTGAGTTCTGTCAATTTCCCTTCTCCAAGTGGCATAGCTATCATGTGGGCTAATTTGGATCCTCTCTCTTTATTTTTAAATATTCCTTAACTGAGAACTTTTCTTTTTGTATTTATTGGAGGTTTAGATAGAGAAGTAGAAAGAAGAAAATAAAAATTGCCCATAATGCCACCACAGTGGTATAACCGTAATACACCATTCAGTATGTGCCTGCCTTAAGTTTAATTCTCTGACATATATATTCTTCTCTGATTGTTTCTTAAGAATGTAACTGTGTGTTGTTACAAGAATCAAGCTGTATGTATCTGCATGCAGTGAGTATTCTAGTCTGCAATGGTATCTAGTTTGTCTTAAAATCCTAGTCCCCCTTGCCACAATGATTTGGGCACTTGGAGAGAAAAACCCCACCCAGATCTTTGTAGATTCTCAGTGTTATTATAGAATGTTTTACATCTCGCTCTGCCACGACTTGCATTAATTACTTCTGCTAAGTCTGCACAGTGGGCCTGGGGTCTCGTCTGCTGCTGTATGTGGTGATCCTGTGGAGTGTAGGCTGCAGAGTCCTCAGCAGGGCATGCAGGATAACAGGGTCCGTGGCAAGCACAGCACCCTATGATTGATTTTGCAGTATCTGATGAGGAGGAGTGTCTGTCTGTGCTGTGACCTAGAAGAGCTGTACTTTCTGTGAGGGGGCACCTCGTACCACATGTCACCTGTGACCTGCCCCGAGGGACGCCTGTGGACCATGCTACCCCCATTTGAACAATTCTGGGGTGACTTTGTCAGCCTCTGACTTAATGGTTTAAACAGTTGTAAAAATGGCAAATGTGTGTGACCTTTTCCTTCCTCTCCAGCAGAAGCCTGGGATGGTCCCCCCTCCGCCAGGAGAGGAGAGCCAGACCTTCATCCTTCCACCTGGCTGGCAGAGCTACTTGTCGCCTCAGGGCCGGCGTTACTATGTCAACACGACTACCAATGGTGAGTCCCACTCAGGACCAGGTTGGTCCAACCCTCCTAGTGACTGCTTCTCCCAAGGGGTGCTTTTCTTCCCACCCTTCCATCCTCCGGTTTGGGAGCGTTTTCTTGATAAACCTGAGTAAGGAAAGGCGTCCTGGCGCCTTAACCCTCTGACTCTAGGACAGTTCAGCATTTGCTAAGGGCCTAAAATACAGCCCTGCTCAAGCCTGTTGCTGGGTGTGGGGGCCCAGGCCTGTAGTTCTGGGAGCAGCTCCAGGGAACAACTGCCCTGCAAGGTTCCCAACATCCCTTCTGCCTCACACCCACCTGGGCCTCTTCATCCAACTCAACTTTAGGATCTGGGGTTGTGTTTTCCAGAAATGATCTCAGAAGTGAACTTGGATCCTGTTAAACAAGTTAAGTAAACTACTGCATATTTTCTAGGGACTCTGAATATCCTGATGATAGTATTGAGGCTCCAAAATGGACTGAATGCAGTTTTCCTAATTTTATTGCAACACTCTTCTCTCTCCTGAAATATCTTACTGGCTTGTGTTTCGTGGAATGTCTTATGGGAAATGATGGGGCGACGTGTGGCTCACTTATCCTATCCCTTATCACGGGATCCCTCTTTCTCTCCCCTCTCCCCTTGTTCCCTTCCCTTCCCCTTCCCCTGTCCTCCTTTCCTTTCTTTTCCTCTCCTCATTCTTTTTTTTAAAAAAAATTATTTATTATTTTTATTTTATGTGTATACATGTATTGCCTGCATGTAAGTGAGTGCACCCGTGTCTTGCAATGCCCACGGAGGACAGAAGAAGCTGTCGGATCCACTGGGACTGGAGTTACGGACAGTTGTTAGCTGCCATGTGGGTACTGGGATTCAAACCCGGGTCTTCTGCAAGAACAGCCAGTGTTCTTAACCACTGAACCATCTCTCCAGCTCCCCCATCTACTCATTCTTTTTGAGATAGGGTCTCACTTAATAGATTAGGCTGACCTGGAATACATAGTCCAGACTGGCCTTGAACTCATGGCAGTACTCCTGCCACAGCCTCCTGGGTGCTAGGATTAGAAGTCTACATCCACCCACCCAGCTACTCCCCATGCATCTTTGAGCTAAGTAGGACTGTAGCTCCCTGATCCAGATTGTTACAATTTCCTGGGCCTTCCAAATAATTCCAGGATCCTGAAAATGGGCTCAAACAGCTTATAAAAGGCTGTGCAGTGTGGCAGGTCTTGTCATAGGGAGAAGAACACTGTTCCAGTTGTGGTCCTGGGCAGAGCATGGCAAGTAAACTGAGAAGTCCTGGGTTTTGACCATATGTCCCCAGGGACTTTACCACAAGCAACTCTACACAAGAAAAGTTAGCTGGGTGGAAAAATTATAGTCATATGTGCCAAGGCAGAATATGAGCATCTATCTGATCCGAATCCCCCTGTTGGCCCAGACTTAGTCTCACTTTTCTCCTCTGTGTCTGTCTGACTTCATAGCTCTATCTTGCCATGCAAGAGGGGCTTAACATTTGTATGGTTTATGATTTTGAGCCTGTACTAGGAGGATGGGTCCCAGTGACAGAACAGCCAGCTACTGTGTAGAGGGAGACACAGAGAAGCTGACAGATGCTCTGGACAGCTGGCTTGTCCATAGAGCTGCCAGCACCCTGACCTTCTGCAGGCTCAGCAGGGTGTTCTCCTTGAAGAGAGGCAATCAAGGTTTCTAGGAAAAGGGAAGTAGGACTGTTTTTAACTGTCTAATCTCATGCTTCCTCAAAACAAACATATAAGCAGCTGTGCTCTGCTCTAGGACACTAGATGTTTGGGGAAGGGGATGTTTGGGGAAGGGGACACTAGATGTTTGGGGGAGCAGGTGTCTGACAGATCTCCTATGCAATGCAGAGTTTGGACTGGATGGGTCTGAGAGAAAGACTTTGGATCTGTTCTTGCCCCAAATTAGCCACCCTACTGCAAAGGGGAATAGGGAAAATACCTTTATACAGCCAGTCAGCATCTGTTTATCTTTTTTACATTAGAGAACAATATATTTTCAGGGCTTAAAATTCAATGAGTAAACATGGGGTTGAAATAAAAAATAAAAATCTTTGGACCCATTTCCCAGAACTATTGATCACATATGTTCTTTCAGATAAATTTGTATTCTCTATCTCCTAAATACATGATAATGGGCTGAAGAGATGACTCAACAGTTAAGACCCCTGGCTACTTTTACAGAGGACCTGAGTTTGATTTCCAGAACTCACATGGTGGCTAACAACCATCCATAACTCTAGTTCCAGGGCATCTAACGCCCTCTTTTGGTCTCTGTGGCATTGTACAGCATGAGTGCACTTACATATGTGTAAGCAAAACACTTATATAAAATAGAAATAAATAAGGGGCTGGAGAGATGGCTCAGTGGTTAAGAGCACTGACTGCTCTTGCAGAGGACCTGGGTTTGGTTCCTGGCACCCACATGGTGGCTAACAGCTGTCCATAACTCCAGTTCCAGGGGATCCAATGTCCTCTTCTAACCTCCATGAGCATTGCATGACACAGTGCACTTATGCAAGTGCAGGCAAAACACTCATACACATAAAACAAAAATAATAAATAAAAGATTTTTAAAAATCAAAAATAAATACATATATACTGATGCTTTAAAAATGCATTTTAAAATGCTATCTATTTTGCCTCTTTAAATTATGTAGAAATTATATTATAGATACATAATATTTCAGCCTAATTCATTGTTTTTTATTAAGAATGCACTGCCATTAATTTAACTAGCATTCTATTTGTGAATGGAATTGCAAGTTACATTTTATATCAACAAACAGTGTCTGGCAGCTTTCTTCTGGAACTCAGACTTTATAGCCAGTGAGTCTGAGCTTCCTCAGGATTGTGGGGTACAGTGATACAGGATGCTCCAGGCCTTGGGTTGGCAAACTGTTTTTCTAAAAGACCAGGTAGAAAATATTTTAGGTTTGGAGGTTCCTTTGGTCTCTGTCACAGCGACTTAGCACTATTTGTTGTAGCATGAATGGCACTGTAGACAAAATGTAAGCCAGCACGTGCAGCCATGTCCTGGTGAAACTCTATGTATGGCACAAAATAAAAAAAAGGAAAAAAAAAAAGGAGTTAGAAGAAGAAAGCTGTTTGGACACTAAAATATGAACTTTGGGTAACTTGAATGTGTTGTGAAATCTCATTCTTTTTGACTGTTTAAAGCTGAAAAAGAGCCAGGTGTGGTGGTGCACACCTTTAATCCTAGCACTCGGAAGGCAGAGGCAGGCAGATCTCTGTGAGTTCAAGGCCAGCCTGGTCTACATAGTGAGTTCCAGGACAGCTGGAGCTACAAGGAGACCCTGTCTCAAAAAGACCAAAAAAAAACAAAAAAACAAAAAAAAAACACCTGAAAACAATGGGGCTGGAGAAATGGCTCAGTGGTCAAGAGCACCATCTCTTCTCACAGAAGACCCAGGTTCAAATCCTAGCACCCACATACCCACATGGCGGCTAACAACTGTTGGTAACTCCAGATCCCAGGGATCCAGCACCCTCTTCTGTCTGCCACAGGCATTGCATGAAACAGGTGCACTTACACACATGCAGGCATAACACTCATACACATAAAAATAAAAATTAATCAGGAAAAAACCTGAAAAAGATGATATTGGTTCACAAGTTCATGGGCCTCACAGTAGGCACACTCACCTCCTTTGCTAAGTTATCTGTTGGGTCTTGGGACCAGCTCCTCCCACCTCTTTTGTACTTAGAGTAATCCTGGCTCTTTTGTCCTGCTTTCTAGATGCATATCAGTTTTATTCATTCATTGGGTAGCTTAATAAAATTTGACACATTTTTTGAGCTTAAATATGTACCCTGTGGCTGGGCGTGGTGGCGCATGCCTTTAATCCCAGCACTTGGGAGGCAGAGGCAGGCGGATCTTTGTGAGTTCAAGGCCAGCCTGGTCTTAGTGAGTTCCAGGACAGCTGGGGCTACAGGGAGACCCTGTCTCAAAAAGACAAAAAAAAAAAATGTACCCTGGAGAATGTCCTCACCTTTAAACTGCCTATGTTCTTGTGGTGGAAGCAAATTGTAAAGCTCTGCGTGCATGAGCAAAAGTGTGTGTGTGTGTGTGTGTGTGTGTGTGTGTGTGTGTAAGTGGGCATTGAACCCAAGGTCTTGACTAAACACTCTGTCATTATGCTCTACCCTGAACCCCAGAAACGTTAAATGAATACCTGTTTGATTAGTCTTGAGAAGGACCAAACAGTCATTTCTGAAGATCTACAGAAGACGGGTTCAGGATCCCTAGATAAAATCATAGAGGTGTTCCTGCCCTCTATATAGGAGGGTGTAGTGTCTGCATACAACCTACGCCTGTCCTCCCATAGACCTTGTCATCTCTAGGTTGTTTATAATACCCAGTATGATGCCAATGCTATGTAAATACTTGTTAGCCTGTATTGTTTAGGGAAAAGCCTATGCATGTTCAGTGCACACACAGATGTCTTCCCCTGAGCATCTCAATCCTCAGTGGCTGTGGGAATCCAGCAGTGTGGAACCAGAGGATGCTTAGAGTTGCCTAATCCCCGTCCTATCCTCCCCCAAAGAGCACTTGGGCATAATAAGTTTTCTGTCCAAAGTCTCATTTACGTGTACATCCCCTTGCTCTGGTAATCTTATTTTCACATCCACTCAGGATTTCACAAATGAGGGCCAGTGCCCTACTTGCCATCAGGTCAGGCTGTGGGCACACACAAAGAAAGAGACACAGGTTCTACTCTCAGGGACAAGACTGCAGTTCTAAGGGGGTCAGAGACCCAAACTCCCAAAAGCATTTGCTGGCATTGGCAAAGGGGGACTGGAGCTTTGTTGAGGCTTCTGTCACCTTCTTGTGGGGCTCAAAGAGGTCTTTAAGGAGGGGCCCTTGATACAAGTGCCTAACCAAGGTCACAGCCCAAGCAGAAGGTGAGGCAGCAGGAAGAAGTGGATTGATGTGCTTCCAGTGGTAGGGAACC